TGGGTCAACCGTCTCGCTCGACGACATCCGCATTGGCCTCAACCTCCTTTGGCTCTGGACCAAGACGGGAGACGACAGGTACAAGATCGCGGCCGATACCCTCCGCGAACAACTCAACTTCACCCCACGCAACAAGGCGGGCGGGTTCTGGCACCGCAAGCCCACGTACCCGAATCAGATGTGGCTGGATGGCATCTACATGGCGGAGAACTTCTATGCGCAGTACACCGCGTGGTTCCAGCCGGACAATACCACCGCTTGGGACGACATCATGCTGCAGTATGATTTGATCGAGCAGAACTGCCTGTTGGATAACGGGTTGTTGGTGCACGGGTACGACGAGAGTAAAGTGGCAGTCTGGGCTGGTATGTCTCCGGCGGAACTTCCTGACCCAACCTGATGATACTAACACCGTTAGACCCTGCTACCGGCCGCGCACCCCATGTCTGGGACCGCGCGCTGGGCTGGTACTTCATGTCCCTGGTCGATGTGCTCGACTACCTGCCCCAATCGCATTCCGGCTATAAGAAGAACCTGCGTCGTTTCCAGTCCCTTGCAAAAGTCCTCAAGAAGACGCAGGACAGGTCCGGTGGATGGTGGCTCATCATGGACGAGCCGTACCCGAGGGATCCCCGCAACTACATCGAGAGCAGCGGCACCGCCATGTTTGCGTATGGACTCCTCAAGGGCATTCGGAAGGGATATATCCGCTCTAAGGACTATATGGCTCCGGCAAAGAAGGCGTACAACCTCATGGTGGGCGAGTTTGTGGAGAAGAATGCGAATGGCACGCTGAACTGGCTTGGCACAGTGCAGGTCGGCAGTCTGGGCAGTCTGGGCAGCAATGGCACCTTCGAGGTGAGTATGAACCTATATCTGATCCAAGAAAATTATCTGATGGTTGTCAGTATTATATCTCGGTTCCCGTGGTGCAGGATGATTATAAGGGCGCCGGACCGTTCATGTACGCCAGTTATGAGATTGAGGCTGCTTCCAAACAATAGATAGAACGAAAGAGAAGAGGCGACAGACTGTGGAAGACAAGAAAGTGGTCCAACTGGCGGAATCCTTGGACTCCGGAGCGTAGAAATAGCCCACGTGGCTGAGTCAAAACCGAGTGTGACTGTGAAACATGGACCTTTTGCGGACAAGCGGGATTCCCGTGGTGGCAGCTGTGAGCCTGGGTGGATGGCTGTGAAAGTCTACCAAAGTTATTTTTGCCGAGAGGACATTGCAAAAAATAATGTCAGCCTGTGCCAAGGAGCCTCGAATGTGAGTCCATCACGGACTAGTCCTGTAGCGTAGGATTAATCTTTGAACAGAGTACTCACCTGACTGGGAAAATAGCGACGGTGGCGTCTGCGTTAAGGCCAGGAACTGAACTGAGAGGTAACATTGGAGCGAACTCATAAAGAGCACGATCTCTTAATCAAAGAAGAGGTGGTAGGAGAGATCGAAGTCATTGTGCCTGTTCAATTTCAAATGAATAGGTGATGAAAGATGGATGATGTTTTGCCTGTCTAAGCCCCTAACCGACCAAAGAGAGAAAGGCACACTGGTTGCCACTGGGACAGCCTTAGAACTTGTCTAGCTTGGCTTGTTTTTAGGTTCACGTTAAATCGCAGCCTATTCCTGTGGACCTGCCGATCGACCCTGTGTCTCTGTCCTTGACATAACAATGGAATGGCTTTGTTTGAAGTGATCGGATTATAATCAAGGAAGCGCTCATCTAGCGGACTGCGTTCAGTGCACATAGTTCCACTCCTTGACTACCAACTCTCTATCACTGCTCTGATTCTATCCATCCATCCACCTCAATCATCAATCGATCTTTGTTCATCATCAAAGCAACAGAGTCATCAATACATGGCGCCTCTATCCAAGCTACAGGCCAAGGAAAGGCCAACAACTGACTACGAACGATGGCTCAATTTCAATCCCGATGAAGATCCATCCTCTCCTCCAAAATACGGGCCCGATAGAAAGCATCGCTATCTCGATGATTCGTCCGTCAGATTTGCTCCAAATCGCCAGCTCATGTTGTAGGCACCATCGTCCCATTGCTATTGTTTGTGTCCATCTAACAACTGCAGCAATGATCAACGCCATAGTATGCCATCTGGACATTCCCGTCATCATCGAAGAATTTCACACTCGCAAGGACTAGTTCGAGGCATCACCTTTTTTTCCGCCGTCCTGGTAGTCGTGCTGGTCATCCGAATGTTCGTGCTCTCGCTCATCCGCGCAGCCCAACGACGAAGAGACATCGAGAGACAGCTACAAGACGTATCCCAACGACAGCAAACCCCGACAGCCTACGAGGATAATAACGAATTGGACGAGCTATGATCATCTTTCCGCAACGCTCAGTCTACGCGTGTATGACAGCCGATGGATAGAAAGCCATAAGATGGTGTCCTCGTCTCAGCCTCAGGACAGATAATCGAAGCATCCCATTACCAGACACACGAATTCCGAATCGCCGGGACAGTATTCAGCCCGTGGTTCAGAGAATTTGCGTGACGTTGCGCCGGACTTGGCTAAAGTCAAATCTCCAGGCAGCAGGATTCTTCCCTCAGCATGCGTGTCAACGGCGATCGCGGGCTGGACTGCATCACGGCTGCTGTGAAACAATTGGAGACATTCCATTATTCTCCGGAAGGCTTGTTCCAAATCTTATTGAGGTCAAGCTCAGAATGAGCGATTTTCATGATTGGTGGTTGGTTGATCATGGATGATAGAATATGGTTGCCTAACTGTCTTGCACTTGGCAGCATCATCCCACGCACGGCACGACCAAGTCGATCGACTCCAGAGCGGAGATACAAAGGCAACAGGCCTCAATATGGTTTTGTCAATTCACTGGTATTGCTATGGTAGAGATGCTGGGTGTAGTCTCTTGCTGTTACGAACCTCTCGACCAGGACTCTTTTCTCTCTTTATATTTGTATCATGAGCAAATAGTTGAACAAATCGAGAACAAGCTTCTTACGTATTTAGCGAGTAGTCCATCGTGAGGGCATACCTGCGACTAGTATTTCACCTTCAGGAAGCCAGAATTCACAAAATAGGCTCCCATGTTTGACGTACTCTGATCATTAGCCGTACATCTGTCAAGCCCTGGACTCCAACTAGATTACCGCTCCCGAATCATGAATGCTATACATGATGGTTACCTTACTTTATCATTGATCAGTGCTTTACCATTTCGGGGCATTTCGAAGCATCTAGGTCAAGGTTGTGACTTGTGACTCAACTTTGCATCCTCCACAGGTGCAAGCTACAACCTCACAATCTCAGCCTAAACCCAAAATAAATTGAATCAGACCATGTCTCATCCTATCCGATGCAGACGGGTTTGCAAGTGCACTCTGCATGTCTCAGCTAGTTTTACATGTGATGTAGGGCTAGTTTAGCCTGGAGCGATCTATCGGGTGGACCCTGAGTCCCTGGACTAGACCATTATCAGTAACCGGTCCAGCTACGGGGATAACCGACAACAGGCTGCAAAGAAGGCCAGGCACTAACTAAATAGACTAGACGTCTAAGCCTCATTGTATGGCAATGTATTAGCAAATAGGTACTCCGTGATGTAACCATGTCGGATGATCTGAGACTAGTTTGGTTGTAGTATTTGAGTATCAACTAGCGAGTGATTCTGTGGAATAACAGACTAAGACAAGGAGCGTGCTGAGCTTGGTGCTGATGCGATGACCCAGGGTGCCCTGTAGGCTGCTGATGAGAAGAGATGAAGGTGACCAGTTGATGCGCATACTATCGGAGAACCCGAGGCTTTTTAAGGCAGAGTATGGTTGAACTGCAATTTGAGTCCCTATGATAGATAAGATGAGGAACATTTAATTCTTGTAGCTTTCTTTCATGACATCCAAGTGAGATTACTACTAACCGAACATTACTCTGTACGTATTCATGGTAAAGAGTGGGTTAAAGCCCTGCTTAAATGACCATTTTCTTCTATCTTTGTTAGTAGATCAAACAGTCAATGGCCTTGGTATGAATTATTTGAGTCTTGGTGCCATGCTAGAGGAAGTAGATCCACAAGTATAATATAGGTCGTCGGAAACCATAAACTCACAAAAGGCCGATTCATCAATGGTGTAGTCTTCTAGTTGGTGTCGCTGTTGAGATTTTTGAGGGGCAGTAGGATAGTGCCGTAACCTGGAGACTGGTTTCCTCCTTACTGTCATCGCTTTCACTGCTGCCAGACCTGGTTGCGGCAGAAACTGAACCCACAGCTAAAGCTGCGGAGGCCCTCTAGGTAACTTCCCTGAAGCCCGCGATGCACGCAGGCGGCAGAAACTTTGAGACCATGGGCACAGCCAATGGTGCCGAGACCATCCCACCGGCTGTATCCAGGCAGAAACCATAGTTACAGTCAAATGAACATAAGCCACTGTAGCTGGTGCTCTCACCTTTAAGGGGATACCCCTGGACCCCGTCACATTTGGCTATTTCCGGGACTCTCCCAGCCGCGTATAGCTATACACACCAATTAGACAGTAGCCATAGTAGGAAAAGCCACACAGTCCCTCAAGTTGTTGGCGTCGGTGCCGTTGATGCATTTCCGGTCGACAGGTCCAGCTTAGGTATGGCAGAGGGCCCCCGGATGCCTGCACGCTGCCCACCCACGCATTCCAGTTTTGGACCGCATGGGGACAGCTGCTAGATACCGGCTTGCCGGTCAACGTTAGGATCTTGTTCCCCGCGCGCCAGAACAACACCTCGACATCCCCCGTGGCGCCGAAGAAGAGAGCATTGCCATGTTAGATCCCGACCTCGCCATCGAGCGTGTTCCTTGACGTGGCTGGCCACACCCTATCTCCAATGGTGACTTGAACGGTGGCTTCATCCGTGTGGTCGTCGTTGCACATGATTGAGTGAAGACTTGAAATTTGAAATGGAGAAAAGGTGCTACAAACAGTGAAGACTTGAAATTATAGTCCTGTATGTTGTTACTGATAGATAATGGACTTTGTATATCATTCCTCGTCGTCGTCGCTCTCTGGCTTGGGGATGAACTTCTCCTCTCGCAGCTCCAAGCAAGCAAGACCAGACACCCATGTCGAGTCACACTCAACCCCCCAATCCTGAAAAGGGTACTGCAAGGCGCAAAAGGCAGAGCGTAATTTGGATCGAGGATCAAAGCCATTACGGCTGACATCCGAGCCAGTCCTGTCTGGTGCCCCGTTAGGCAGATGTGGCGTGGGATCAGCGTGAGAGCTGACTGGATGATCTGATCCATCTCCTGGGTAATAGCAGATAAATGATCTGGTCGCGGTCCGGCTTCTTCGCCAATGATCAATGACCACCACATCGGCTTCCTGCATCGCCCGTTCCACAAACGGCGTGAACTCCTCTATCAAAACCTGCCGGGGAAACTGTGGAGGCATATGGCCCTTCCAGCAGATCCAGTGCCGGCGTGGGCCTCCAAAACAAGACTCAAGGACTAGGTCGTAGAGCATGTTCATCTGTAGCCCTATCAGATCTACCTGGACCTGATCATTAACCCGATGGGTCGTTGGAGCGGCATCGCATGGGAGATAATAGCGCTTATAGATCCAATCCCCGCGAGGATAGGAAGCTTGCACATAGGCAAGGGATGCAGGGGGCTGCTGCACTAACATCCGGCGCCAACTAGCTTCGCGGCGGAAAAATCCCTCGCGTCTATCGTTCTGCTTCGACCAGGACAGCCTCAGGTAGCTGCATTCTCTCACGCCAGATGAGTCCATGGACGGGGGCAAGAGATTCGGAAAGAGTCGCGCTAGGAGTGGATTATGCAACTTTTCGCGGCACTGCTCTGGTGGAATGGGTTTAAAGAAGAGGGCCTGCTGCAGCTTCGGGGAGGTTTGAATCAGCCTGGTCCAGGAGTGACAGACTCGCTGGGCTGATGTCAGCAGGGATTGAACATCAAGGTAAAAGAGAATATATTCGAGCAGCTCAGGTGTGGACAGGACCAGCCGTTGGCTCTCAGCCATGGTGATATCAAAGTACAGCTGACAATAACAATGGATACTTGAGGTTGGATTATATATGTTTGGGATACAGCTGCACTAAACCTTATACAGCTAGATCCATCAGAGGATTAAAACATCAATCACCTGACCTTCAGGGGGTACAAATATTAATAAAAGGAATGCTCTGGACAAAATCCACCTCCAAAACTATCATACTGGTAGACAGCCGGAGCGACGGCTTCAGTGCCCATGGCCATGGAGATTTTGCCGATGCCGTGTCTTCACGTGAGAAACCAACCTGTGCAAGACTGCCACCGGAGGTTGCTAATGAGAAGACTTGAAGGTGACCAGTTGATGCGCTTGCTACTGGATAATCCGAGGTTTTCTAAAAGTCAGAGATCTAGCAGAAAACTAGCTCTGATGCTACAATCTCGAAATACAATAAGTTTGCGACGCCACAGACGGTGACACCAAACAGTCCGAGTCAAACTAGCCTGAAGATGTTGCAGCGTTCTGTGGACTTGATTTAGGCCAGAGGTGACTCAGTTTTAGAAAGGGGTTGTCTTTCTTGCTAAAGAGCCCAAGGCCATCTCTGTATTGGCATTGTCTAGGAGGTAGCGAACCTTCAATGTCTTTCGCAGACATCATGTTCCCGACGAGTGGACAGTGACAAATGCCTCAGGTGACGAGGTCTTCATTGAGGCCGCATGGCTTACATCGCTGTTTACTCCAAGGCGAGCGAAGAATTTCCATGTCTGGCTGCCGATGCGCCACAGATGTATGTGTGCATAACATGTCACACGCAAATGCGACTTGGCTACCTGTACCTGTCAAGGTGTCATGCAGAATGTCCAAGGATGACTTATCAGCACTGAATAGCTAAACAGTATGCAAGTGCATGGCACACAGATATGGTGCTCCACGTTGTGTGCCCCAATTGACTTTAGACAGGCCTTATTTTGACATGCGCAGCGCGAAACATGATTTCCATACAAGAATGGCCCTTTGCTGACCACAAAAACAATTCTCTGCTCCTTTGAAAGGAGTACTCCAAAGTATTTGCAAAATTTAGTTGAGCCTTCAAGATGCTCATCCAGAACTCCGACCAGTATATGACAACCCACAGTCCAAATCCCAACAGTCGACACCGAAGCAGAAATACCCAAGCCACGTCCAATGTATGCAACGGTCTTATACAAGTATTAAATTATAGCCACAGTTCCCAACAGATATATATATGCCATCCACTAATATGCCAGCAGCGAAGGGTTAGAATGTCACATCTGCGGATCTAGTAGCGGCGTTCTCTCCAGAGAAAACTATTGACTTTCGATCTCGCGGCCAGATAGGAGGTCTTTCACTGGCCCTGACAAGATAGTTTCCTTCACTCGATGCCCGTTCAAGTATGTTAAGTAATTCTTGGTGAAGTTGATGGGAATCAATTCGGTCGTTCGGCTCGATACGGATCATTTCCCGCACGATCAAACATAAGAGATCGTAAAGCATATCCGAACATCGTTCATCTTCTGATAAGTGAGTCACCCATGCTTTTACCGATGGCCGTACGTCTCTGAGATTAGCCGTATAGAAGTAATCATCGTTGATATCCTCCGTCTCGCCACCTTCGGCACCGCGAAGGTCGGCAAACTTCACGATGGCCTCGAAACCAAATACTATCCAGGTAATGAACTCCAAATATAGGCAACCAAGGCTCCAGATGTCCCACTTCCGGGATATGCGCAGGTTGCGATGATTGTCTGGAGGCGAATAAGTTTTAGTAGCAAGCACACCGGCAGGGTCACCGTTGGATACCGATCCGATGCTATGAAGACTAGCCAGACCTAGGTCCGTGATTTGCAATATTCCGTTCGAGTCAGTGCATCCTGGATAAGAAGGGAACCACACGATGTTCTGTGCTTTCAAATCGCCATGACGTCCGAAATGACGGCCAAGCTGAGGTCCGTCCGGCAGCTGAAACCCGTGAATCAAAGACAGCGCGCCTGCGAGGCCCGTCATTTGCTTCAACGACCACAAGACCTTTTGAGAATCAATCTGTTCGAGTGCGATTCTCATCCAATAATCTCGCAAGTTCACGTCTGCCCATGGAAATACCAGGTGAAACTTGCCTCCCTCCTTATAAGTAAAGAGAAGATTGATCAGATGAGGATGGGTTCCGGACGTTCTCCTAAGAGTAATATGCATATCTCGCTCAATCTTAAAACGTGAAGGGTCGGAAGAAAAGAGTTTCTTGACTGCAACTACGGCTTGTCCATCCTAGTCATCAAGCCATGGTGTTAAGCGGTGTTCGTCACAGGCCTAGCTGAAGGTCAGATGCCCACTTACCTGGCAACCAGGAGAATTCCAGAAGGTATGATGAGCAGGATGTATGAAGGCTTGAAATACCTCACTGAAGCCGCCTTCGATCTCTATTTGTCCCGAATTCGTGAAAGGCAAGATTTGAGCTACCGGAAAATCGTAATGTTTGCCCTGCTCAAACACCGGAGCCAACATACGCCACTGCTTTTTCGCCAGGCTGTTGATCTCAAAGTCATTCCATTCACTTAGAGCCATGATATCGCGGCCTCCATTCGTTTGCAGTGTTATTCGCTCGCTTCCAGTCCTCGCAGACTTCATGACGAAAGGCAAATCGGTGTCACTTATCCCCTCATCCAGAAACTTCAAGATTTCAACACCCCTTTTCCTACTGACCAGTATTGCGAATAGTTTTATAGAAGTCTGAACAATTCTTCTGGCTTCTGTCTCTGCATGAATATCATGCACCAGCCCCTCCTCTCGAAGTATGTCCTCCACTTTCGATTCGGTGATAAGTTCTCTGAGACTGGACAGTGGAACATACTTCACGTGCCCTGAACTGTAAGGCTCAATGCTCGCTCTGGATAAGAACTCTTGAAGCTCGTAGAGAAGAGAAAAAGGGCTAGAGGTGAGTCTACCCACATCCAGCAAGGAAGACCGCCTCGAGACGGGGCGGTCAGATTGTAATGCGGATGAGGACTGATGGACCAAAGAAGCGCGCAAGCAAAGCGGATTGAGTCCATTACCTCTAGCCTGACTGTCAACGACCGATACGTTCGCGGCTGCTAAGGATGGATGATCATCGGAGACCGGATCCGTTCCAGACGGGGGAGACGGTTTATCGGGATGAAGGTGTCGAAACAAATATATGAACGGCTGAAGAAGACAGCGTAGAATAGCCATTGTCGAGGTATATAACAATGTGCAGAAAATCAATGTGAATTTGTGTGATGATCGTTCGTAGCCTTGCTGGTGCGGAGTATCAGAGGAAACATGGGCAAAAAATCGGTACAACGCAGGCTGAGGGAGAAAAACCCCTCAAAGCTCCTCAAAAGGCTGTAATAATAAAATGACAAGACTGGAAGAGCAATTTTATATAAGGCGATGGCGAGACTGCGATCGAAGGTTGAGAACGGAAAAGCGAGGAGGAATGGACAGGTGATAACCAGTTGAGGGGGGAAAATAAAGGAAAAAAATCAGTATATTCAATTTCGAAGACGTTAGCCGGATCGTCAGAGTGCAGAGTAATTTGGATATTAATGGCTGCGTTTAATCATGATCTGCCGTAGCATGGTTGACACCCATGAGCGACGAGGACGGGGAGGCTGTGTGCGCAGTTGAGATTCAGAAAGCCAAGAAACGGAGATTGCATTGCCTCTTGAGGTGACCCGTCATCATAGGACGGAGGTCAGGTCAGGAACGAGTCAATCATACCTAGGTAGTTTCGGCTTGCTTTAGCTCTCAAGAGTAAGGTACCTGCTTGCAAGCTTCTTAGAATGACGCTCCTTCCGGCGTCTTTTACCCTGGCAACGTCTAAGCAGGTGGCAAATTACGGATGCTTCTGAGTTCACTCGTTTTATCAGATAGCTCAGTACTGTACATTGCTTTCTGAAGTCGAACTCGCACTAGTTGAGGCGAGGCTTGGACGCATGCATTTGTATTGGCGGCAATCTCGTACCTACTTCAGTACCAAAGGGAGGTGCACCAGTAGCCGGCGTTTGAGAGGATAGGACTCGAAAGAGTGATGGCCTACATCATGCACTGCGCAGTCTGTTGCATTAGCGTAGAGTGTGAGTCGTGTCTCTTGCGTTATCCCCGTGCTGAGACCATCATGGTCTTTCTCTGCTTGTCAACTGTCTTTTTCTTTCGTTACTCATCCAGCTTACACAGTCAAAGAACTGACGATACTGACTGTGGTCGAACAGTCCTACAGAGGCCATACAGATATTGTGAGACTTTTCTAAGGACGCCACTACCTTTTGAGTGATGGATAGACGTGAACGGGGAAGAGGGGCTAAGGAGTCATCATTTATCTCCTTGGGTAGGCGCATTCCTCGAGGTCATAGTGGTCTTGCTAATGTGTTCAAAGAAACTGAACTCGACCGAGAAGGTCTACCTTCCTCTGGACGACTTTGCCTGCCCCCGTTCTCCAAACTGCTCTCCTCTTTCCTTTCGAGCATCGCCTCGATGACCCGGTATCGGTCGCACAGCCACCAGGTGATCACTGTCAAAACGGTCAGAGGAGCAGATACGACTGCTAGAATCCAGACTTGGTGGGAGATCTGCAAATTGCCCTTGTCGTTGAGATGCACAAACTCCGTTGAGAAGAAATTCTGCCCAGTGTCAATGCAAACCTTCGTCTTCTATCCTTTCACTTACTGATACTATTGTCGTTGGCAGATACACGAGACCGATGATTGTCAAGACCTTGACTGCTGCGGCGTCCCGAGCGCTTTGGGCCTACATCAACGCCTTTGTCGTCAGCTGTCTAAGAGGGATACGTGATTATAAACGAAGGCGTACTGACCGCCAGCTTGACCATCTCCTGACTCTCAATCCGGGAGGCATGCGCAAGCTGAGTCAAAGCGGCTGCTTCTTCATAAGCAAGCAGATCTGAGAGGTGCAAACACTGGGCAACAGGTCATAAGGGTCACCACAAGTCTTCTGGCCCGAGCTGGTAGATGTCTTACCAGTTGCTCTGTTGATTGAACACGCTCTCTTAGGATCTTCGCTCGGTTCAAAGATGTCTGAGCCTCTGCAGCATACTCTCCAAATTCTTCGATCTTGTTACTGCAAAGGCAAGAGCCTGTGCCATCGCAGCTGGTTTGGCAATGCCGTCTGCAGGCCGTGCCGATGCGACTGATAGAGTCAACCATTGTCTGGAGGATGACCAGCATATCGGTGATGTAATCATCTAATTGCTTCAAACGCTGCCGGTCTTCGGCACTGACATATATGCTGCGAGGCTCGCCGTTATTTCCTCTCTGGAGGATATCGAGGACTAAGACTCGGTTTGCCTGGAATCCATCTTGGTCAGTGCTATCTCCGCTGATATTGGCTCCAAATAATGAATTGTAGAAGACAGCAGCATACTATTTGTTTACACTCGGCCTCTAGCCAGACCTGATAGTCCATCCAGCCTTTCAGACTGTCCCTGACGATGTGTTCATGGATAAGAAAATCCTGGCCAAATGTATCATCCTGAGACACGTTTTCGGGGAGACGCTGAGCGATGATTCTTTCCGCCGCACGCGAAGGCGCAATGAGGATGAAGACAGACGTGCTGCGTAATGCGTTTTGACGATATCGGTTGGGATATATCATTTTGTGGTAAACTCCCGTTTGACGTATCGACCATGGACACACTCCTTTGTCCGTCGAACTATTGTTGGGTTCCACACGTCGGATCACGTAGGCGAGCTCTGTCCCATCAGTCAACGTCCCTCTCGCTTAGAAGCCACCAAGAAGGTGCAAGGATCCTCACCGTTGACTCGGCTATGCGTATTTTGCTCGTTATTCGCCCGGAAAGGTGGAAAATCATACTCATTTTCTTGGAATTTGATCCCAAAAGTCAACATGCATCGCCAAAAATGATCGAACACATTATGGGCTGCTAAAAGGTGCTCGATAGTCTCGTATGAGATGTCCAGCGTCGTCCAAGATCGTAGGTGGCGAACTGTGTAGATCTGAATGCAGGCATCGTTCTCTGCCTGAAGTCGCAAGAGTTACCAATTAGTATGGGATGCCTTCAAGCGCTTTTCTTCGACAGATGTACCTCTTCGACCTGGCGTAACTCTGAGAGGTCATTGATTTTGACAGGTGATTCCAGTCGAACAGACCAACAGCCGTGGGCGTCTCTCGACTTGAATATTGACGTGAGTTCCAGTTGCGGTCTATTATTATGGGCCTTGAAGAGTCGGTCTCTTCTGGATTGAACCTTCTCCATCAAATGCAGGTCAACCTGAGACCGATTAGACAGGCGGGCCATGGTGGGGGCGTCTAATGCGATGATGTCGTGGTCGATCTGGCCCTTGACTGCATACGTGAGATGGCCATCCTATATACCACTCGACTAGAAGCCGAGTCTGTGAACTTCTGGTCTGTTACTACATGAGATACAATATCTACTTTACTTGACATGAGGCTTAATTGAGGCGCAAGAAGGCTTCTGTCTCTATTGAGCGAGGCGTTGAAGTCAGATCATGATGACTTCCGTCTGACGAGGCCGACTCCCGTGCCGTATTCTGTCTTTAAAAGCCACCAAAGGCAGAACATGACTAGACTACCTAGGATACGAAGTAATATTTGCCTGACTGTCAGGCTGAAAGATGGGGAAAAAGCAAACAGGCGTTACGCTTTGTCCCACCGGAAAAACTTGGTCATAAGGGGCAGGGCCAGGGCATGTCTCGCGCCAGGTAGTGTGACCAACCGCCACAAAATACCTTTCTAGTCATGACTTGGTATCACTCAGCTCTACAGCTTGTGGCTGTATATATGATTGGTCATAATCCTTGCTTAATGCAAGAGGTTAGGCAGCCCGTCACAATGACACTAGGGCTATGCCGATCTTGATGTCGCCTCTGGAAAGGCTGCTATGATCAAAATGAGGTCTATGGGGAGGAGAAGTATATGTATGGTGTGTCCAGCCACCAATCGATTTCATTATCATCGTACAAGCTAACACGAATACAGACAACGTGAAGTCGTCCGGAGGGCTGATTCTAGGAGCCCGAAGAAGAACAATTTGAGCAAGCGTATTGGGGGTGTGCCACCAGTGCCACCGTATGTACCCATGCAGATTCCCGTTGGTCCGAAGCTTTCTCTGCTCGGTTCGTTTAAAACCCCGTATTCAGTATGTTTGAGTCCCTGCCTTGATGTTTCGCTGCTTGGAGAAATAGGCGCTGCTAAAAGTACACCCGGCAGTCATTGATCTTATCCTACATCGGAGATCAGTCGGTTGAGCACGCTGAAAAATGAAAAGGCAAACAACACTCACATCTATGGAAACCAATGTTTGCTCTCTTTGATGGTCGGGAACGTAAATTTTATATTGATCCAGGCGTAACTGTGTCGCGTTGATGAGCCCTTTCCTGATATTGTTCTTGGGGAAAATGCCAGTCACCTCTACTCGAAAATTTGACTGACCGTATTCTTTCCTGAGCATTTTCACCAGTTTCCTGGGATCCATATATTTCCCCTCGACGATTCGAAAGGGAGTGGAGCTGTAAGGGCAACTTCGGCTCATCTTAGGATGCGTTTAACGTATATTTCTGAAATTTACCCACGAGAAGCAAAAGAGGTCAAGAGAAAGACGATATGTGATGAGCAACCATACTCGATAGAAGCCACAGCTGCCTTAGTGATATGAGGGATGAGCGATCGCTTAAATAAGTACTCCGTACTCCGTACAGATTGTCTGACATTTCCAACAATGATAACCAAAATCCATCACCCCTTGCGATGTTGCCCACTTGTGCGGTCCACGTATTTTCTTCCAGGGCTACTAGGGGCTACTTCAGCCACCTATCGAGTGACCCAATAAGAGGATACTTGTGTCAGGATGATCCATCGGGATCAGGAGGCTGAGCGGTACATGACAGAATTTCGTCCTGGGCGCAAGAAGCCATTAGCGCCTTGTGACTCCCAACGCAGATGCAACCAACAAAGCCGTCATCGACGTCCAGTCAACAAGGAATCATCCCTTCTCATATTGCATGTGAGCGACCAACCTGCGTAAGAGTCTGGGGTGCCGTGATATACCAAATCCCCATCTTTATCTGCGAGATGCATTAGTTCTGTTACAGCAGGGGTGTGATTGCACAGCCTCGTTGATGAAGCGGGACGACGGCGGGAAGCCAAAAGCAAGCAGAGCGGGAAGAAAGATCCCTCAATTTAGGTGAAAAACAAAAACACGAGGCGATAAGACACCCATCGCATAGATACTCCTTAGAAACCGAAATATCAAAGAGGCTTAGGCTGAGGCAGGCACTTACTTGGACCGTGTAGGTCTTCCTCGGAAACCGCGCCCTCAGCAGCGCCAGCAGCTTCTTTTCATCGATGTAGCGGTTCGTGAACGACTGCTCGACCATTTCTGTTGTTTGCCCTTGTGGCTTGGTTCAGCTCCGGTCAGATCATCGGGTGATGCGCTCGATTATGGGCTGGGGTTCAGAGTCGGGTGATGGAGTCCATGGTGTTGGAGCCTTGATTTATGTTGTGTCTTGCATGAGCCGCATCTCTCATCTCATTGCTTGAGATGTACGCGCCCAAATTCCACGATATGTGGTGCCCTTTGTTTGCTTGTTCGGTTCATGTATGCGCTGGATGGGCGTTGGGGTGTTCGACGCGGATTTGCCGATGACTTTGGTAGACAGTATCATACAAGGTGGAAGTAGATAGGACTGCAGGTCATTGTTGACGTGGTGCATAGGTGTTGGAATAGAGGCGGATGTATGGATGCAAGGCTTTATCAGGCTGTAAAGCAATACCTTACTTATGCAAAAGATGGCAAATGACCGAAGACTTCTAAGGGAAAAGAATATGAGATGATCACTGGGGTCCTTACCTTGTCGGGTTGTTATTGATCGCTTTGGCTCCTCTTGATTGTACTGTGTAGACTACTGGGATGTCTCCTGTAGCATATTTATTGGCCTGATACATTTCTGATTGGCATCTAGGACCGATTGGTAGTATTTTGTTCTTCATGCAATATGGACATCATTTCCCGTTATTTGTGTTTAAGGGTCCAAAACGCAGTGAGGAAAGAAAGTCCTCTATCAAGGCAATGACCTGGTCTACGAAGTGGACAAAAGGAGCTGGAAATATATTTTGTTGTGTTTAATCAGGTCTCTTCAATAAGACCTTCGAGATGAAACGACGATTAGTCTTCTTGATGTGCAAATCAACTATCCGCTGAGAATCAATTTCTCTACTAGCAATATCAGCATTAAAATCAGGATATAACATGCCACGGCTAGAAACTCCGTACCCACTAGCCTGCCTCCAGACAAGAGAATTTTGTTCTCCAAAATGTACTTGTTTAACAGGTCTTCAGAACACACAGAGCGAATCAAGAATGATATAAATACAATCGAATGGCGAAATTTACCCTCATTTCCTGAATTTCTATCCGGATTCGGGACGTTCGAACAATGGATTCAGCGAGGGCACATTGCAAGTGTTCCTGAACCTCAAGGCCGTATATCTAAAGCTTGGAGCAGCCGAGAGCAAGGGCGCCACCCTGGATATTAAGTCAGGATCAATGGTTCTCAAGAGCCAACGGGAAAGAGAACGTACCAAGAGATTGGCCTCGGTGCAGCATTGAGGAGCAGAGGAACATTCTTCAGTCCATGGGTGACCTTTTACAGGGAATCCGTTAGTACATGTTGATTGGCAGAGCATATCCGGGTCACTCACAGAGCAGTCCAACGGAACCAACAATCTCGGCGGCGTTGATGCCAAGACCAAGCAGCATAGGGTCCAAAATGGGATCCAGGGGAGTGGTAAGGGAACCGCAGCACAGGATGGGTTTAATGCATTGGGAGAGATCTGTGGCAGTTTCCTGGTCCTCGACTCCATGGACCTTGCCAGCGATCTCCTCCACCTGCGACTTCAGAGCGGAGGTGGTCGGCTCCTCGGCGGGGATGGCCGCGGTGACGGCGGCAACAGTGAGAAAGGTGAGAATGGAGAACTTCATATTGAATGTTTTGAAGGTTTTGGTGAGATATGTGGAGGTATAGAGGATGATTGAGAGTCTCAGTTGTGGAATAACTTGATTGTCTGAAAGGATCTCGAGGTGATTTCGAGCTCTTTATATCCTCGCGAGTAGATAGAATTACCCAGGGAGCCCTGGAAAAGATCTGAGATGGACCATGAGCCCAATGATGTTGTCATGATCCTTATCTCGAACATCTGGAAGGATGAAGTTGGTCCTCGACTCAGTGAGTACACAACGACATTCAACTGGAAAGACGGCGCTGATAGCGAGCATCACATTCGGATGACTCGGTTGAAAGAAGATCTGCGAACTATAGATTCAAGATAAGCACAACTGAGCATTGAGAATAGATCGAGAACAGTATAATGCTGTAATCGAGAACCCAAGGATATATCATGGCTCGGCGCTGGAAAGATCGACGCCAGGAACAATAGTTATCCAATGAAACATTTGTTCAGGTCCGTACTTGTAGTATTCTTCGGGTGTAGACGGCACCAGAAGCCAGGAATAGGTAGATTCAATATTCCTGCAAGAGATCAATAGTTTAATGAAAGAAAGTGATCCAGCAACTCGTGTGAGGATTCCTTATCTGCGTGGATCACGAACCCAAAGGTCAACCCCAGACCGGCGCCGAATCAGATCGGTGATGCGCTGATGATCGGCAGCAAGGTACCGGCGATCTATGGAGTTCTCAACGATAAAGAGCTGCAATAAGAACATTCTGTACTCCATACTGTAACTGAAGCTTCAATGAGAACTAAGCGAAGCATTGGCACACTAATTGAGTTGTTCCTGGATTTGGGAATCTTGCATGGTGGCGCTCGCTAGTCTCACATACCAGTTCTTGGATGAGTGGGATGTGCGGCTATGGCGGTCTCAAACAATGATTAGAACCAGACAATCAGCATAAAGTGTCCAAAAAAGGAGGGACATAATGTGAGAGAGGCGAGTGTATGTTGCCGAGGATGCCAATTTGCCAACTGATGCTCTGAAAGGACTTGCTAAGGGTAATGACAGCGTAAGAGGCCAGAAGCCATTATTGATAGAAGATGCCGGGGTATTAATCCAATGTGATATTTTCATATCGAACAATTTGATATCATGATCAACTTCAAATCATCCACGATGTTCCAGAGGTTGGCTAAGACTTCAGGCAAGATTCTTTGTGCATGTAGCACAACTATGCTGCTTCAGTCCGTAGACGTGGAGGATCTTCAAGGCATTCATTTTCAGCCAGAAATATATAGGGATTGGAAGAGCAGAAGAAGCCATGTGTTAGTTCCCTAGCAGAAATGTCTCTGTAGACCATACTAGGTCCCGATTCTTGACAATCCAGTCCGAATTCCGGTATTGATGCATTGTTAATCTGGTGATGATGGAACATAAAGATAGATGAGAATGAGTATTTGTCATTATACATTGAGACCCAAAAACCATGCCTTAAAATAAAAGAGCAATTTGGTTCTCATCGAGAGCCTTCACCAGCAAATACGGTGAGAAGAGATTGGCTTCAGAAGATGTGAATCAGATGCCAGCAATCAGTCTTTGCAAAAGACACTCACTGTCCAGCAAGCATTCAGCGTCGATGAGAGATGCAAGAGCATGATTAGAGCAGGATGATGACGCTAACGTAATCAACCACCGAGCGACGAATTTCTCCCTACGCCACCCACTTCCTTTCTTCAACGCGTTGTTTTATCACCACTATTATTAAAAATGCCTTTATCTCAAGAAAATCGGATACAAATGGCAATTGCAGCCATT